ATGGCCTTTATTGAAAAAATTAAAACAGATGCCAGTGTGTATGCAGAGAAAAGAGAACACATACACTGTTGGTGGGAGTGTAAATTAGCCCAACTACTATGGAAAGCAATATGGAGATGACTCAACGAACTAAAACTGCATCTGCCATTGAATCCAGCAATCCCACTACTAGGGATCTAGCATAAGGAACAGAGGTTGTTACACACAAAAGACGCCTGCACCTGCATGTTCACTGTAGCACAATTCACAATTACAAAGATGTGGAATCAACCTAAAGCCCATCAACTGATCAGTGAGTGATAAAATGTGGTATATATACACCATGGAACGCTATGCAGCCACAACAAAGAATGAAATAATGTCCTTTGCAGGAACACGGGTGGAGCTGGAGATCATCATCCTCAGTCAAATGACTCAGAAACGGAAGACCAAATGCCGCGTGCTTTCACTCATAGGTGGGAGCAAAACAGTCACAAAGATGGAAATAACAGACACTGGGGACATCAATAAGGGGGTGGGAGGAAGGGGTCAGGATTCGCAAACTACAGAGCACAATGTTCACCATCTAGGGAGTGGCCCCCTGAGACCCAGTCCCCACCACTACACAATATGTCCACGTTGCAAATACACAAGTGTACTCCCAAATCTAAAACAAAAATAAAGAATTTTAAAATTTTCATAGCAAAAATATATACATTTTGCTCAATGAATCATCCTGGAAATTTTAAATGAATCTCTACCTTTATGTCCTGTGTGTATAATGTGAGGGGAAAGGCAGAAAGTTCTCGTCAAGGTTTTTTCTGCAGGAGATTCCACCGCAAGAGCTTTTGAGAGCAATAGCTGAGGCCCACCAAGCTTTTGACATAAGCCATTTTATAATTCTGCTCTCTTATCAGCATTAGTCACTGACTCTCTTTCATAGCTCTAACCCAAACTAACTGCAGTTTTGTTAGCTGTCATGCGTTGAATGCTTTTCCTTCATTTCACATTGGTGTTTTACTATACTCGGTAGCATGGATGCCCATGTGTGCTGTGACCCGAAACCAAACTAAAGAATAGTGGAGGTCAGAACAGGGAACCAATTTCTAGAGGTGATGAGCAGTCACCAAGGGGTAAGAGGACCACAGCTATGTCCCCAAGTGGATGTGACCGAGGGAGATACACAGAAGTGACTGGAGGCAGAGGCTGTCCAGGGGTTGAAAGAGGCTGGTCAGGGTCTACTCCATGGTGAGGAACTCAGCTCCTCCTGCAAACAAGCTCTGTAACAGGTGACAGGACAGGAGACACAGTGGAGCCTCCAGTATGGAGAAGGACACTGGCAAACTTGCAGGTCACTGTGTTGCTGGATAGGGTGCAGCCTGGGGCTCCACGGGTTCTTTGGCCCACCAAGAAAAGCATTTCAGAATGAACCCAAGTATAGTTTTAAGACAGAATTTATTAGGGGGTGAAGGATATGCCTGACAGGCATGGGAGTCTTAAGAGAAAAAATGTGCTTTTACTTTTGACAAGAAGTTTGATATACCTATACAATGATTATTATGCTGACCATGAGCTAAAGGGTAGGCTGCAGTTATCTGGTCCTGAATTTTGATTGTCATCACTCCACTTTTGATGAGTTAAGAAGTGGGCTTTTCCTGAGCAGGCATTTGCATTTGACAGGGAATTTGATAGACTTTTACAGCAATTATTATGCTAACCATGAGCTGAAAGGTAGGCTGGTTATTATTTCCCCACCTTTGATGGGCTTTCCTGAATTTGAATTTTCCAACTTTTATTGTGCTAACTGTAAACTGAAAGGGTAGGTTGCACTGACAAGTCCATGGTCCAGCATGCAGGATGGTCAGGAACGTGAGACAGTTGTCTGAATGCTTACCCTATTTTAAAACTACCTTCAGGAAGTGTATCTCTGTCTAACCTATGCTGAATGGCCTGCCTCAGCTGGCTCATGATGTGATGGTGCTCCCATGAGGGCAGCATGGGGCCACTGGGCACAGGGAGAGCACACGCCCAGCCCCAGGACTGTGGGAACCACTCCTGGAGACAGTGAAGTGTGAGCTGAAACCTCAAGGAGGGAAGGGCTTAGCTGGTCAAAGGGAAGTGGTGCAAGTAGCTTCCCGAAGAAGAGTAAGTTTGCAACATGGCAGAAGAAGCAATGGCTGGTCAGGAAACTACAAGTTCTACGTGATCAGGAATTGAGCGCAGGATGGGAATTGCCAGTGTGGAAAGACTCAGATTACAAAGAGCCTAGTAAGCCTTGTTGAGGCATTGGGATCTGTATTGCATGAATATGAGGATCATCAAAGGGCTGTACAAGAGCTGATCAGACGTACATTTAGAAAGGTCACTCTAGGTCAGGTGTGACGGCTCACACTTATAATCCTAGCACTTTGAGAGGCTGAGGAGGGAGAATTGCTTGAACCCAGGAATTTGAAACCAGCCTGGGCAACATAGGAAGACCTCACCTCTGCAAAAAACTAAAAAATTAGAGGGGCATGGTACTACATGCCTCTAGTCCCAGCTACTTGGAAGGCTGAGGTCGGATTGCCTGAGCCCAGGAAGTCAAGGCTGCAAGGAGGTATGATCATGCCACTGCACTCCAGCCTGAGTGACAGAGTGACACTCTGACTCAAAAAGAAAGATCCCTGTGGCTATAGAAAATCAATTAGAAGGTGCAAGGCTGGAAGCAACACAGCCAGCTAGGAGACTATTGCAGTAATCCAAATAAGAGACAGACTATACTCTTCTAATAGAGTAGAGGCAGTGGACAGAAAAATTAGAGCCTTTGAGAAATCAAGGAAACCGAATTGGCAACTTGGAGACAGACCAGAAGTTGGTGATGGAACGGAGGTGACAAGGATAGAATCTGAAATAATCCCAGGTTTCCTACTTGAGTAGCGGAAGGACAAGGGTGCTATATCCTGAACTATATTCCACAAGGGACACAGTTCAGGGAACACCCCCACTGCTCTCCCTAAGTCTCAGCAGCCTACAACATGTCACTTACTGTGTCCAAGGACAGAGTTCAAAAGCACAAATATGATTGTGCCACTCATTTGCTTAGAAGATGTTTCCTGCTTCTGAAGTTCTAGGATGGGAGAGGAAAGTCTGGCTGAAGGACCAGCCTACTAACCAAGTGGACGTGTTCATGTTTGGATTTCATGGGTCTAATGTAAGACAACAGATTGCTTCTCTAGTCAGCATTAGACACAAGCCAGAGGAGCAGGCATAGCCTTATGTATTTCACTGGTTATTTCATTTATAATTTCAGAGATCTCTTTGACATTTCCAAGATTATCAGATTAGCAAAAATATATATTTTGCCCATATAGGAAAGAAAATGTTGTTTTAAATACTGTGCTTCAGACTACTTTAATAGGTTAGAGGCAAGATGTTATGAAAATTAAAAAATAATCTGGGAGATTATTAAATAAAGCAAACAGGCTGGGGGCTGGAAAAGGGGAATGGGGTGGGGAACACCCAGAACATTGGTGTGAAGATGATTGTTGAGACACGGTTGGTTAAAACAGGCTTGGGCTGGGGAAAGGGTGAGAAAGGGAACTTCGTGGCGGCCCCACGGACCAGGCGTTCCTGGTTTTCATGCATTTGTGGATCGGGGGTGGGCCAGGGAATGGGCAAGTCCCTCATCCCCAAACCCCTTCCTGTGGTTCACACGTTAGTTATTCTCTAGAGCAGACAGGTCCCAACTGCAGCCCACGGGTGGAACATAGTCCAGGGCAGATATTAATATGGTCCCACAAAATCTTTCAGCATCATGTATTTTTTTAGTGTTTGTTTCTTCATGGTCTCATGGGTAGTTCCATTTTTGAAGTTCACAATCACGTCTTGTTCATGACATTGCTTTTTGGCAGCGCATGCATACATTTGTGAGCAGCTGTTTTCAATTATAAATCACACGAAGAGCAAAATTTGAACAAACATTTCTGATGAGAACCTTGAGAACTCACTAAGAATTTCAACCATGTCCACTGAACCAAACACTGATAGATTAGTTTTACAAAAACAAGGTCAAATTTCCCACTAGTTTTATATTGCCCTCATTTTTCTAAACTTTATAACCAAAAGTTTAAAAATAAAAGAAGTCATTATGTATATACACTAACTATATATTATATAATTTATGTGTGACTCAAGACAATTCCCCTTTGCTCGATGCAGCCCAGGGAAGCCAAAAGCTTGGGTACCACTGCTCTCGACCCTGCGTGGTTCTCTGACTTTGTTCTAAGCCCACTGGATATGTCTGAAATGTCCCCGACTATGAGATCTCTGCCTTTGCACAGGCTTCACCCAGCAGCCACCCAATTAACTGCCTCTTTCCAGCAAAACTCGGACACCTCTTCCTGCCCTTGTCCTCCTAGGCCCCAACGTGCATAGTCACACCACACCTCCTGCAATGCCATCAGTGTCACGGTCCTCACTCACACCCTCAGCAGACTGCCAGAGGGCCAAGACATTCCTGCTTCTGTAGCCTTGGCTCCTAGCTTTGTGTGCAGTTGTGGGCCTCACCAAGATCTGTGGGGATATGTAGGGAGGATAGACACATCACCAAAGTCCAATCATGCATGGTCCCTTATCTTTTTCTATTGAAAACAATCGTGCTAGCAATTAGGTACCTCCCCTTCCCACCAAAAAGGCAATACACCTAAGAACAATGATGCTATATATTTGTGTGACATTTTCCAGTTTGCACAGCACTTTCACACCAAGTATCTCAACAGTGCAGAGTGCATTAGAAGAGCTTGAAGACACCAAACAACTGCAGGATATTGATCTGAAACAGAGAATTCAGGAGCTCAAAGTAAAACCTGGCAAAGCTATTCACTTATAGATAGAAATATAGCAATGTGAAAAAAAGGAGATAAGAATCCACAGAATTTGAGTCTGACGCGAAACAGTCTCATAGAAAAAGAATAGCTCAAATTACAATACACAGGAATTTTGGCAATTATTTCTATTTAAGAAAGAAATATATATGCACTTACTTATATTTTAGCTTTACAGAATTTCCAGGTTTTCCCCATGGAAGAACTACAAAATCTTTGGTGTTCATGATTACCTCCGTAATGTTGTGTAAAATTTACTCCGATCTATGAAAACCTTCTGAAACAGTAACAAAGACAAAAGAATTATGCCAGAGGTCAAGCAGTGTAAGTTACAACTTTAAAACACCACAGAATTCAGGAACATTTTAAAAATGGAAATATTTGTGAAGAAAAAGTCTGAATCAAAGGTTGAACAGCAAAATATTATGATATACAGTTGGCCCATTGTATAGTCAATGAACAGTGAATTAAAATACTCAGGAAAAAGCAATAAAAATAACACACCAATAAAAAATGATACAAAAAAGCGCGACAGCTATTTACAAAGCATTTACATTATATTAGGTATTATAAGTAATCCAGAGATGATTTAAATGACACTGGAGTACTGTGCATAGGTTATATACAGTCACTATGCCATTTCATATCAGAGACTTTGGCATCTGTGGATTTTGGTACCTTGTGGGAAGGAGGGTACTGGACCAAGTCCCCTGCAGATACCTAGGAGTCACTGTGTTTTAAGTACATTCTGAGTGGTGTAAAAATTTACATACTATTAAAGTTAGAAACACAACGTACCTGATGGAACTGAAATTTCACCAATATTTGTAGACAGTTGACCCTCCACCAACACGGAGGTTAGGGTCACCAATCCCCCCAGTCGAAAACCTGTGCATAACCTTTGACTCCTGAAAACGTTAACTGCCAGTAGCCTGCTGTAAGATCAAAAGACCTACTGATAACATAAACAGTCAGTTAACACATATTTTGTATGTAATGTGCATTACATGCGGTATTCTTAGAATAAAGTAAACTAGAGAAAGGAAAATGTTGATAAAAACACAAGGAAGAGAAAATATGTTTGCTGATAAATAAGTGGAAGCGGGTCACCATAAAGGTCATCACCCTCGTCCACGTCACGTTGAGTAGTCTGAGGAGGAGGAGGGAGAGGCGGGGCTGGTCTTACCTCCTCAGTGTCAGCAGAGGAGGAGGTGGAAGGGAGGAGGAGATGCTGGCACACCAGGCATAACTTTTATTGGAAAAAAGTCCATGTGTAAGTAGATCTGCAGTCTGCACAGTTCAACCCCACGTGGCTCAAGGGCCAACTGTATAGCAAAAGACTGAGGAATACTCAACTAACAGTAAAGAAGGCGTTCATTAAGACAAACTAAAGCACATTTTCTGGCTCTGTCTGTGGTCAAGGCTAACAAAAATAATATTCAAGGCTATATATTGAGAAATGAAAAGAATACTGGAGATTTCTAAACCCAATAACCTTTCTTTTGCATATATGATAATTTAAAATGACAATTAAGGTATGTAATAATTACCCAAAGGCATTCTAATATCCTCATTTATCAAAGGGAATTTTAATGATGCTCTTTGGCTAAGATCAGAAATTAGCATATTTTAGAGATAATTTTTCAACAATAAATGAAACAAAAGGATTTTCTGCCTAACTTTGAGTTAATCAGAAAATTAAATTATTTAGAATACCCTTTTCCCCAAGTATCCCAATTATTCATGGTTCTATAATAATTCACTCTGCAATGCTGAATTACTGAATCACATGCACAAGTACTAGACTTTTATATGAATAAAAATTTCCAAAGTCCAAAAGCTCCTAAAGAAATATGAGGCAATATTATAGCAACCATGGTCGTAGATGCCCACACCATTTGCTGTTAGTGTTCCTATGTGCTCATAACCCCAATAAACATTTATTAAGTTTCTGCTTTATGAAAAGTAGTGTACTGAGAGGCATGGAGAACCTGAGGCCCAAGGAGATTTGTTTTCTGGATCAAATGGTTTAGAGACAAATAGAGTTTATAAGACCCTATATATGAAAGTTATAAAACAAGGTAGAAATCACAAGGGCCATAAAAATGTGTAGATTAATAATACAGAAAGGGAAAGAAATAAAGAATTCCAGCTGACTAGCATTTTCGTTGAAGTTTTGAAGAAGAAGGGGGACTTAGATAAGGATATGGATTGAATGAACATTCCATACTTAGGGAGAGAATAGCTCCTGAATGGGGGACGACCGACTAGCTCCACTTGGCTCAAGTGCAGGTTACAGGCAGGAGAAAAATCAGCATACGTTGAGATATGGAGGCTGAGGCCTACTAACAGGCGGCTTTAAGTGCCAAGTTAGAGCATTTGGAATGTATTCAGTAATTAACAAGAGTCTATGGGCTCTAGAGGGAAAAACAGAAAAGAAATCTAGAAGCCTTGCTCTAAGACTTAAGGAAGGGCCAGGTGTGGTGGCTCATGCCTATAGTCCCAGCACTTTGGAAGGCTGAGGTGAGAGATTGCCTGAGCCCACGGGTTCAAGACCAGCCTGGGAAACTCGGCAAGACCTCATCTCTACAATAAATTCAAATAGTCCCAGCTACTTGGAAGCCTGAGGTGGAAGGATCACCTGAGCCCAGCAGGTTGAGGCTGCAGTGGCCATGAGCATGTCACTGCACTCCACCTGGGTGACAGAGTGAGACTCCGACTCAGAAAAAAAAAAACTTAAGGAGGGACAGCACCAAACGGAGGTTTACTGCAACGTCAAAGTCTATGCAACCAAACCAGGAGTTCTTCAACATGTTTCTCTGGAAGACTGCCTCATATTTCAGTGATGCAACCACTGATTAAAAAACATCTTTGAAAGGCCTCTTTTGAAACTAGAGTGCATTATACACCCAACAAACACACACACTCATTTTGTTGTTGCCTCATGTGAAACTAAAAATGTTTTTGCAGTAGGAGCAACTATTTTTTTCACTCAAATATAGCTCCAAACTATGGAACTACCTCCAAAGATCTAACTTGAAAAAGTCGATTTTTACCAATTTTTTAGGAAATTCTGAAGAAATGTATTCTCTGAAGATAATTGCAAATTAAAATTGCAAAAAAATTAATTTTATATTTAAAACAACATCACATCATGAGACTAAGTATATTTGTACCTCAGATCAACAAACATTCATTTAGCTGTTTTATTGTGACCCCTATTACAGGTAATGAAGTCTCAATGGTAAATAACATGTGGCATCTTCCCTCAGGGTCCCCACTAACAAGGAGAAATACACACAAGTAATCACAATATTATGAGACATTCTGGCAGGAAAAAAAAATCTATGGAAGGCATCTAACTCAGACTCATTTTTCAACCAGTGAGTCATACCTCTCAAAACTAAAATAAGTGTCAAATAAAACTAAAAATACAACAGAAATGAAAAACTAAGACTTGTATTGCTTTTGGAGGCAGGGGTGGCAGCATTTTTAAATGAACTGGTATTCTACTCCCACACCTTTAATAATCTTCTTTGTAGAGAGTGCCTTTGTCTCAAACAGAGGCTACCAAAAAAATAAAATAAACCCTCCAGGAAAGGAATGCAAGGATGGTTCTATATAAGCAAGTCAATAAATGCGGTTTACCATATAAACAATTGAAGACAAAAATCATATTATCATCTCAAAGGACACAGAAAAAGCATGAAAGAAAATCCAATCTTTCTTCATGATTAAAAAAAAAAAGCCCTCAATAAACTAGGCATTGAAAGAACATATCTCAAAATAATAAAAGCCATCTACTACAAACCCACAGCCAAGATCATACTGAATGGGAAAACATTGAAAGCATTCCCCCTAAGAATTGGAACAAGACAAAGATGCCCATGGTAACCACTCCTATTCAACGTAGTACTGGAGGTCCGGCAACGTAGTACCAGAGTAGTCAGGCAAGAGAAAGAAATAAAAGGCTTCCAAATTGGAAAAGAGGACATCAATTACCTCTGTTCATGGATAACATGATCTTACACCTAGAAAATCAGAAAGACTACTTCAAAAGACTCCTAAACTTAATACATGACTTTAGTAAAGTTTCAGATACAAAAATCAATATACAAAAATCAGTAGTATTTCTGTATATCAATAACATTTGAGCTGAGAATCAAATAAAAAACTCAATTCCGTTTGCAATAGCCACACACATGCCATGGCTCTACTAAGCTATGATCTGGCCATGTGTCTTTGAGTTGTGGTGGCTATGTTTCCTAAGTTTTGGTCCCCTCTCCTACCTTGGAGAGGTGAATATACTGTCGCTTTTCTCTCTCTCTCTCTCTCTCTCTCTCTCTCTCTCTAATGTACTTTCTAATTTACTTTCTAAATAAACTATATTTTCCAATCTTAAAAAAGCCACATATACACACAAAAAATCTAGAAATACATTTAACCAAGGAGGTAAAAAATCTCTTTAAGGAGACCTACAAAACAACGGATGAAAGAAATTGTATGTGATACAAAGAAATGGAAAAAAATCCCATGCTCGCAGATTGTAAGACTCAATATTGTTAAAATGACCATACTTCCCAAAGCAATTTACAAATTCACACAGATGCAATGCAATACCTATCAAATTAACAAACTTATTTTTCACGGAATTGGGAAAAAAACTCTAAAATTATATGGAACCAATAAAGAGCCCAAATTAGCCAAAGCATTCCTAAAAGGGGGGAAAAAGTCAGAGACATCATATTACCTGTCTTCAAATTATGCTACAATGTTGCAGTCAGTCACTGAGAGAGCATTGCACTGTTACAAATATAGACACATAGAATAGAGAGCCCAGAAATAAAGCTGCTCACCTACAATCAACTGATTTTTAACGAAGTTGGCAAAAATAAACAACAGGGAAAGGACAACCTATTAGATAATGGTGCTGGGAAAAACTGGCTAACCATATGTGGAAGGATGAAACTAGACCCCTCCTCACCATATGCAAAAATTGAGTCAAGATGAGGTAAAGACTTAAATGTGAGACCTGAAACTACAAAAATCCTAGAAGAAAATATAGAAAAAGCACTCATGGATATTGAGCTACACAAAGAAAAACAAAAATAGACAGATGAGACTTAAACTAAGGAGCTTCTGCACAGTAAAAGAAATATCCAACAGAGTAAGCAAACCACCTACACAATGGTAGAAAATATTTGCAAATTATGCATTCAACAAAGGACTAATACCTAGAATCCACTCCCCCACAACTCACAAATAAAAAACAAA